GTCGTATGCTTTGTTTAAAGACCTTTAAGCTAAGGCTGGAACAAATAAATGGTTATTGTGTTCCATAATCAGCAATTGATCCGTTTACACACGGAAAGACTCACATTCAAAGCAATGAGCAATAGTTGCAAATTTATTTGAATGGAATGATTGTCTAAACCATTAGTCAAGAATGCTTGATTATAAGCAAAAATTACCTTAACATGATAAACTAGCAAAAGCTCAAATTCATGGGCATGATTTGCGTTCCGAACATCTTTAGCAATGTCACATCGACAAGAACGTACTCAAGGCTCTATTAGATAGGCTCTTGATAGTTGATCGATTCAGAATCGTTCTAAGACAAGCAAGTCTTACTTGTTGAAACCGACAAAGTAAAGAGCTATTGTTCTTGGTATAGAAAATTGACTCTGAAAGCTAAAGAGGAATATTTTACTTCAACGTCTCACAAAGAATTTGAAAGAATATGTCTATATTCATCAAATGTGAACAAACTTGACCTTGAATAGTTCAAGAGTTCAGTGAAGTACATAATTGACTTGGCAAGACATCAAAACGTCTAGATTAGATCGAGCGATGTTTTCTTGAGCCAAGCGTGACCATCACAAAGTTATGAAATTGAAATTTTCATAAATAACTCCTCAAAGAACATAGTGTGTCTTCACGGAGACCTCGATGCCATTTAAAAATGACTCGAACAATGATGGAACACATCCCTTCCTATAAAGTTCTTGAGATTTGCACAAAGGACTAATGTTACACTAAATAAAATGTTGAAGCTAAGAAAGGACGCCATATTCAGTTATGGATAGAATTATCTTCTAAATGTCTTTTCAAGTATATGTCTAAAACTCTTAGCCACATTGGGAGTTCATTGGCTCAGTGGGAGCTAAGTGACTCAGTGGGAGCTCACCGACTTAGCAAGAGCTAGATGGTTGAGTGGGAGCTTAATGGCTCATTAAAGGCTAAGATAGCTCAAGTGGGATCTAACTGTTTGTTTTACAACAAATTTTTACCCAAAGACAATATACATGTCTCTTTGTAAGCATTCAAGTGAGACCATGGGCATTACGTCCACAACCTAATTGAGAACATAGTGTTTCTTTCCCTAAGTGGTGTCTTTCTGGAAACTAACACGTTTCCAAAAAGACAAGTGGGAGGAAAATGAACTCGATGACCATCGAGCTTAGCAACAAACTAGAACTGAGAATCTTGGAAGACCTTAAAAGGGCTTCGTGAGAATACTTGATCAAGAATACTCAAAAGGACTTTACAAGTGCTTTAAAAGAGAATTTATTTCTCACAAAACTTTTAAAAAATTGGAGTAAGATCAAGAATAGCAAAGGGCTTTGGAAGCACTTTGAAACTCAGTGTTTGATGCAATAACCCCGTATAGGTATAAAATTCACCAAAGGCTTGGGTTGAATCCTATAAATTTTCTATTAAGTTAGAAATAAACCTAAGACTTACAAGCATACTATTTACTATTAGATAATAAAGGAATAATGTCTTGTAAGATAGTTACGACAAATCTACGACAAATCCAAATTCCAAATAATGGTTAGCGCCATGAAAATCCGAAACAGACCCCTATTTGAAAATCATGTATGAAACTTGGTTAATTTGCATAAAGGGTGAAAGACCCATCGATTGCAAATAAGTTTTCAAGTATAAAATTAACAAATGTGGAAATGTATATGCATACATAGCTAGATTGGTTGAAAAGGATACAATTAAATTCACGGAGTTGATTTTATTAAAAACCTATTCACCAATCAGAATGCTAAAGTCTTTTCGTGATTGTTTTAGAAAAATTGCTCATATGAAATATGGAAAAATAGATACCAAAAACGCCTTCCTAAAATAGGATTTTAGAAGTGACTATGAAAATAGTCTAAGGGTTTTGAAAATCTAAATAAATTCTAGATTCAAAGCAAGCTTAAGGAATCCGTCATGGGATTAAAGGAAGCATTGCATATAGGAATTGGAACGTGTTTTCCCATAAAGTTAATAAGATGATTGGCTTATGGAGAAACATACAAATTCTTATGAATAAGCAGTTTAGTGGGAGAAAAAGTAAATTATATAAAGGTCCAACGAGAAGTTTACGAACTCTATTGTGAAATTACTATCAAATTCTAAATGCTTAGATTTGAAAGTATTTTTGACAATGGACCAAGAAAAAGACGATACTTAGTACGTATTGGGTATTAAGTTCTATTGTATAGACTTAATAAAATGTTTGAACGTGTAAAGGAGTTTACCGTGTTAAACATGAATTGAAGGACTTTGAAAGACTTTCGACCCATATGTATAAAACTAAGTAAATGTTTGAACTAAGTATAAGCTAGGCTAAATACTAAGTGAAACATGAAAGACTCTAATAGAGACTTTCAACCATATCACATAGCAAACAGTTTAGCAAAGACTCAGTGAAATTGAATGAGCTAAAATGGAAAATTGATGGAATAAGATTGAGAATTACTCTGCAATTTAATCCATCATGTACGTTGTGATATGGAATCGTCGCAGGACTTACTTGCTTAGAGCATGTGAAGTATGTATGTAGTACCAATAAACCTGAATCTATGTAATAGATCGTTAGATTATGGCCAAGAACATCCAAAGTACTTGGATAAGTAACATGATGAGTTCTTGACTTGTTGAAACAAATATGATTTGATAATTGATGTTTCAAGCACAAACCTTAACAAGGATTAGATCCTTAACAAGGAAGACGTTTATAAGCACGAGCTAACAATAAGTCGTGGCTTGATTATGGTAACACGGACGTGGATCCATGTGTAATGTGCAGGAATTTAAGAAAAAATTTCCATGATCACAAGTTATTAGGGTATCCCAAATCATTGTGAGCCGTTTGGAATGAAACCCAAGCAAAGCATCATCAGGAAGTCTACTAAAATATATGTTGAGAATATTATTGCCTTAATGGCGATAATAAAGAAGATGTTCTATGGAAAGTTCGTTGCTTAACGTTATTGATTGTAGGTTGTCAAGTTGAAGGTCTCAATCATGAAAATGAGTGGGAGCCATAACTTGGACAATAAATCCTAAATCACATATAATTCATGACACTCTTAAATTTTATCATCTTATTATGAAAGTGATCAGTAATGAAAATGCTAAGGTTAGCAAAGTAGTTATAACTAAACCTATGCAATAAGTGAACGACAACATTCACAATTGCATGAAAGAAATCAAGCATATTAGATATGGGTGTGATTTCTATAGATGTTTTATAAAGAGTGATACTCTTAAAACATTCGGAAAAACCATTTATCATGACATGAACCATTCAGTTTTGGAGTAATTCAAAATTTCTTGCAATTTTTTATCACTCCATTTGCTATTTAATTGTGGTTTAGAATTAAAAAAATGAGTCCATTCGATTCTTGGAATATTCAAAATAGGGTATCAAGACCAGTCTTGGTAATGAAACACCTATTAAGTGAACATTGAATATTATAATTGAAAATTATCCCTAATCGAGGTCATTTAAACGATGGATGATTAATGACCAGTTGAGATTAGTGTGTAGTTTGATTTATAGCACCCTTTCATATGCTACAAGGACATGATTGTCATAAATCATATGCACAAGTATTGGTTTAGAACCATACTGGATCGACCTATGAGAATACTTTAAGAGATTAAAAATCGTCATAAGTATACTTCTCATTATGGCTATCGGAACCTATTTCCTTGACCATGAGTATTGTGAGTTCTCTTGTTTGAGTACTAGTCCGCTTTGATGTTGTCAAACATCTGCCGTAATAGGGGATTATAACGGCAACAATCGGGCGTCTAGGTCCTCTCAGTAAGAGGAGCTACATTACAAGACAGGGAGTGTCCCCCTACTAAAATAGGGAAGATGTCTTTGTTGTATACAAGGCCTCTCGTAGAGCAAGACTATAGAAATGCATGGCCGTGCTCGGATGGATTTTAGAAATCATTTGTTTATTGACAGTCGGACTCGGAATTGAGAAGCACTTCTGGACGTAATAAGGATGATGAAATAATCTTACCTTATAGTTCATGAAGAGACATAGGAAAGGGGCTATACACTAAATGCTCACTTGTCCGAAAGGACAAGTGGGAGATTGAAAGGAATGGTGTCCTTCGAACAAGTGTATTATTCTGATAGCAGGTTCAGAATTATTAGAAAGCTAATATATTCGGTAAGGTCAAGTGATCGGAATGCCTGGGTGGAGGCCAAGTGATCGGAATGGATGAAAGATTGAAATTGAAGACTTTTTTAAAGACTAATTGTAGAAGAGTATGTCTTACAACTGATACATGGACTTCCTTGCAAAAAATCAATTATATGTGTCTAACTGCCCACTTTATTGATAATGACTGGAAACTAAACAAAAGAATATTGAATTTTTGTCAAATATCAAGTCATAAAGGGGAAGCAATTGGTAAGGCAATTGAGAAATTCTTGCTTCCCTGGGGTATTGAAAATGTCATGACAATTACTGTTGATAATGCTAGCTCTAACGATACAACTATTCTTTATTTGAAAAAAAGAATAAACAATTGGGGGACAAGTGTTTTGAGAGGAGAATTTTTGCATGTACGATGTATTGCTCACATAGTGAATTTGGTTGTGAATGATGGTTTAAAAATGGTGAATGATTCTGTACATCGTGTTCGAAATGCAGTAAGGTTTATTAGGTCATCTTGCAATAGAGTTGAAAGGTTTAAAAAATGTGCCGTGGAAGAGAAAATTTCAACACAAAGTATGTTGTGTCTTGATGTTCTAACTCGATTGAATTCGACTTATTTGATGTTAGACACTGCTGTAAAATATGTAAATGCTTTTGAGAGATATGATGATGAAGACCCACATTATAATGATGATTTATGGGATGTGGATGGTTATGGGAAGGGGTTAGGGAAACCTTTAGGTGATGATTGGGAGCATGTTCAGAACCTGATAAAATTGTTGAAAGTTTTTTATAATTTGACTGTTCGTGTTTCTGGCACATTATATGCGACTTCCAATGCTTATTTTCATGAGGTGTCTGATGAGGATTGTCTTTTAAAGGAATGGTGTGCTAGTTTAGATGCTAATTTTAAGAATATGGCTATGAAAATGAAAGAAAAGTGTGAGAAATATTAGGGTGATCCTAAAAAGCTGAATGTAATGTTGTTTATCTCTGCTATACTTGATCCTCGTTACAAATGGGATTGTGTGGAGTATGGGATTTGTCAAATGTATGAGAGTGATGTAGCATTAAGTGTATGCGGTAGAGTCAAGAAAGCCTTTAAGGATATGTATGATGAGTACAAGGGCTCACAAGTGACAACTAATTCAACTAGTACTCAGAGTGGGGGTTCAACTTCTAGTGGAGTAGATGGTGAGCCTAGTATAGGAAATAAGGGAATAATAAGGGCTAGATACAAGAAACTTAAAGCTACAAAAGATGATGTGGATGCCAAATCAGAGCTAGATAAGTATTTAGATGATGATACGGAGGAGGATGTGGATGATTTTGATATTTTAAAGTGGTGGAAAACTCATGGTGCAAGATATCCTACTCTTTCTCTTATAGCTCGTGATATATTAGCTATACCTGTTTCTACGGTTGCATCTGAAAGTGATTTTAGCACCGGAGGTCGAGTAATTAACTCCTAAAATAGTAGAAGCTCTTGTTTGTGGTCAAGATTGGCTTCGTGCATCACCCCTTAATGTTGAAGAGCCACCGGAGGATATTGAAAAATTGGAAAGTGGTATGTATTTATGTCCCTTTTATAGCTATGTAATTCAATTGTTTAAGCTTACCATTTATTTTTCTTATTAAATAACACATGGATTTGTTTTGTTGTAGATCTCTCCAAGATTAGTTTATCTCCACCCATCATTGATATAGCATGAGGTTAATTGACAAGAAATAGCACAGGTAGTCTCAATTCAGATTTTAAAACTTGGACAGAAACTTGTTTTATTTCATGTCTGACTTATTTCTTGATTTTCTTGGACTATGCAGAAAAATGGTTATGATGTGTACAAGCTCAAGATGTTCATTTTAAGTAGAGTCTCTTCTCGTTAAACTCATGGTGCTGTTGGTATCAGTTGGTGTGGGAAGGAAACTTGGAAAGAAGACTCTTATGTTGTATTTATATAATTATATGTACTGACTTATGTGGGTCATTATCAAGAAAACCAAATGTTTTTCTTTCTTACTCTACGATTCTTATTCTTTGGAGTTGTAAGGCTTTTCATTTTTGATTTAACTTTTGGTTTACTTAATGATTTTGCTTCATGTCTGCTTTGACATGTTACTTAGGTCACTATTAGCATTGAAGTAAAGTACTACCTTGAACTGTATTGAATCATTTGCATAGTTGTACAGTTTTCAAGTAAAAATTTCATAAGAGAAGATTAGCAAATAATCATTATTTTTTAGGTAAAAAAATTGTGGAAAAACCGCAAACCACACCGCACCAAACCGTATATTGCGGTGCAGTTTGGTGCGGTTTGTATAAAATTGCGGTTTGGTGCGGTTTGAAAAAATCACAAACCGCGATTTTGCGGTTTGGTGCAATTTGAGATCCAAACCGCATCGTGCACAGCCCTAACCCCGAGAGGTGACCACCAAGGAGCTTGGTCCGACTACGTGTCACAACACGTGGAACATCTTCCACTTCTTTCACCAAGTTCCATGCACCCGCGTCAGGACGTATGATGCTATGGTGTATCTTGGCGAGAGAGTGGTTATTCAGCACTCCTCAAAGGCCTTCATTGTTCCAGCTCGGCCTCCTCGACATATATTCGATAAGGCGAGGTTGTAGACTTTGGAGAGTAGGGCGCCAGAGGGCACGCCTTGGCAGACGCACGCTCGTCCGGAGCTATGCTACTTAGAGGCACTTCTACCGCTCTTGGCTCCACCACCCGTTTTACCAAAGGGAGGAGAGGAGGTATTCTTTATCTTGTGAATTTGTCTCTCGTATAGTCTCCAAGTAGATATTAATTACTCAGTTTATTTTGTAGGATGTGCACGCGGAGTTTGTCGCTCCACCTTTGTCCATCACCTATCAGGGGATGTATGGCCCTGTTGAGGAGATGATACCTCTAGCCCCTCTGGATCATCACTTTATCGAGCAGTCAAAACCACGACACCAGACTTGGGTGAGTTATTTATTTGCCTTTTTACTTGCACATATGTCTTTGATCGTTACTGACTTGTCTCTTGACAGTTCTCTTGCGAGGTGGTAACGATGATGGTGAGAGGTTTAGACGCCTTTTGTTACTAGCTGGTGAGATTGAGGGATCGAGCTTCTTGTCGCCGTGATGACACTACAGTTCTCTTATCCTTATCTTATGATTGATTTACTCATTTAGCATCTGACATGGTTTACTTTTGCAGGGACAACCTATTCCTCCTCATACTCGGACGAGATCTAAGGCTAGGAGAGAGAGGTCCGACTCGAGGCGTCATTGTACCTCGTCTAGGGGTGAGGGTGGTCGATCGGAGACGACTCCACCTGAGAGACAGGCGGGTTCAGGCTCTTCGTCCGAGGGTGCACATGTTAGGCCGACAGGCCAAGGAGGTGTGCCATCGAATCCTTTAGGGGATGGTGGGACGTATGAGGTTGGCTCGTCGTCGCAGCAGCCGCCGCAACCTTAGCCATTGGCTATTTAGCTCTAGAGTGAGCCTGGATGGGCTGGCCCTACTCTGTTGATCCCGATTGTTGGCAATCTTGGGGCCGATGAGGGGCATACTCCACGATCTACCTTGTTCTTTGACAATTCGAGAGTGCCTCCCCATTTGTGCCTCCGGCACCGTAGCTGTACCTGTGTTTATTTTATTTGACTCATAAAACTTTGCTAATTTGTATTATATGACTTCTACATTAGACATATTGTATATACAAGTTTATTATGCTTATTTTATCTTTGCATTTTATTTTTTATTTTATGTGCATGTGAGTGTGTGAAAAAATTGTGACTAATTTTTGCGCAAAAAATTTCCGTCATTTTTATTATTAATGGAGAGTATCCGACTTTCTCCCCCAAAAAGAAAAAATAAAAAATAAAAAATAAAATTTTGACTAACATAAGCCTAAAATTAATTACGCTTAAATTAATCGAAAAAATGTTTGAAAGAAGTCAAAACATAAAGTCAATGCACAAAAATCGAGTCGTTACCGAAGAAAACATATGGTTTGCATAGCGTGAATAAGCTGTCGTTGAACCGACTTTCTGTCGCCAAACGCTGACGTCGTCGCCAGACGCTGAACTCGTCGCCAGACGTTGTCCTTGTCGTCTGGGGACACATTTTATTTTTCTCCGAATCCTTTCGGGAAACAAACTGCACCATTTTTGTCATAAATAGCCCCAAAATCTGCCGAGTGGTTTATATTTTGAACAGATTTAAAAAATATTTATAGCTTTAATTCTCTTTAAGCAATCATGTCTAAAACTTTTAGTGATTTTACTCATGAGTGGTGCCATTCTTTGACTGCTAGGGAGAGAAAAGAGCTTGATTTCTTTCATATGGGAGGTATTAATGGTATTAAGGGGGTAAACATAGATATAGATTTTATTCATACCGCCTTAGAATATTTGGATCCATACACACATTGCTTTATATTAGGCTATGATGAAATTAGTCCTTTACTGGAAGAATTTGGTGCCATTCTAGGCTTTCCTGCCATGGATCTTGCGGTAATTCCTAATATTAGCGAATACTATTATAAAAATTTTGAGCGTTTCTTTAATCTGAAAGACAGAGATCTAACAAATATTGTAGATGGTACTATAGTTAATCTGAAAGAATTCGCACACCACTACTTTGATAGACCATATTCTGAGTCTTTTCATGTTTATAGAAGAAGAGCTTTTCTATTTTGCATGTTTTAGCCAATATCTCCTTACTAGTGGTAATAATTGCGAGGGTCAAGCAATTTTATTGTCTGTGATGGAACATATTGAATTAGGAAGGAATCCAATGCTATTAATTGTTGGAGAGACTATGCTTAGTTTGGATGAATTAAAGAAAAATCCAAAAGCACCTTTTCGAGGCTCTCCAATTTTATTACAGGCAGAAAAATAATATTTTTAATTACATAAATAAAAAGCATATATTTTTGTATAGTAATACTAATTATTTGTATTGAATTTTTGTTGTAGATGTGACTATGGAGAGACTAAAATTAATTAGTCCTCCTGACAACATTGAAAAATATACACCAAACTGCTTTGTAAGGTGAAAGAAGCGCTTTTCCATAAAGATGGGTCGCGGGGAGCAGAGAAAAATATTCGCCTCTCGTAATTTTGCTATCAAATGGATCATCCCATGGTGGAAATTGAGAAGATGGTTGGTGTCAACAAGCAACCCTTCTGCCATCTACCAAGCTTATCCAAGTTGACTTTTTATTACCCCTGCAAGGTAACCGGGGGGCCACCCATAATGACCTTTGAAAAGGTCAATTTGGGGGGGATTAACTAGTCAAAAGGCTCGGGTTGCATACAAAGAGCGGGGTGATCGGGGTGAACGTAGGGGTAGTTTGGGTCACCCTTATAATCACTACCACCCGAGACCCGGTAGTCATAGTGACCGGACTCGTCAGGAAACTCACGCCTAGGCTCGTCGGGGTTCTCGACACCCGACGAATAGGGGTACGTACGGAGGTTGTCACCACCCCATGAAGCCACGCGCCCTTAATGGGCCGGTGCATAAGGGTAGTTAACCGGAGGAGTGACCTCCCCTCTACGTACACTCACATTGTAAAGGGCTTTAATTTGAAAAGCATTATGATGGTGAGAGGCAAACATACCTTGCATGCAAAGTTTCATGTTCTCCATTTGAGCTCTTATCCCTGCCATATCTTGTTGAAAATTTGGTGGTTGTTGTTGTTGTTGTTGTTGTTGTTGTCGTCTTCTTCTTCTTCCATGTTGTTGTTGTTGTTGTTGTTGTTGTTGTTCCCCTCCACTTCATCCTCTTCTTCTCCTTCCATACCAATCTCCTCATCCTCCTCATATACCTCCTCCAAATCCACCGCTATGTTATTGGGAAGGACTCCCGAGTCCCTCCGCAACCACCAAGGGTGGGTAGCTCCCTCTCTTGTGTGGGAGGTGTACTCCGGCTTCGGGAGGAAGCAATGATACTCGTGGCATACAAGTAGATTCCAAATCCCGTTGACCCCATCAATTCCTTTGATGAATTGCATTGTCTTAAGTTGCCGCTCATCAAACAATATATCACTCCCGTCGCCTTTCCCAACTATGGTGCATGAGCACAACTTCTCCTCATGGCCACACCTCATGGCCAATCGAGTGACCATTGCCCCACAATGGATCTCCCCTGTCTTGTTTCCCGATATAATGGCCTCGATGCGTTGGATGAAGATAAAGCGCAAGTTCACTCTATTCCCAAGATCCAGCCTAGATGCAAGCCAAAGAATCTGAATCTCTTCTAATGTTATATTCCCCAAGTCTTGCTTGTTAAAAACCATGTACCCAAGTATACGGTGAAGTAATCTAAGGGCTGGGTGCATGATCTCACTAGCCAAGGAGTACTTTGCATCAAAGTTGTTTTTCCGGGAGATCCGTTTCCACCATTGTCGGGGGTTGTAATCAGAAATTTGCACATATTCGGGGAGGAGAATGTCGGCTTTGGGGTTTAGGTTGAGGTACTCATTGAATTTTTGGAGGGACATGGTCTCTTTTTTGTTAAATAGTTGGAAGGAAACGGAGATATTGTTGTTTCCGGAAGTGTGTTTCTCAAAGGAGGTGAGAAACTCCAAGGTAGGCTCTCAGTATGTGTTGTAGGCCTTGGACACAAAGGTGCTTAGTCCTAGATTGTTGAAAAAAGAACCAAAAATCTTCATCAATGCCAAGTTTGGTTGTTGTGGGTTGATGG